TTACATCTGATCGACAAAACCATACTCACATGATATCAAAATTATTTCCGAATGACTTACAATCGGGAAGATAAATCACAAATTGTCCAAATGATTTCTTGTTTGCAAGAGACATGTATGATAGACAACAAAATCATCGGAAGTACTCCATAAAATATATGATTTTAGGAGCTCCTCGGTCACATGGTATAGGAGATCAGGATATATATGCCGGATGATGCATAACATAATTAGCTAACGGATGTACAGAAAATCAGAAAAATATCGGTGCTTTATGCCTCTTAATATTTTTGCATATTCTTTATTGATTCTCTTCAGATCATTCGAAAGTGCTACAAAGGAATGAAACATCATTTTTTCTGATATTCTGTTACATTAACTAAGGTTATATATATATATATATATATATATATATATATATATATATATATATATATATATATATATATATATATATATATATATATATATATATATATATATATAAGAAAAACGCTACGATAATTTCTTTCACTGCCTTGACAGACGCTGTCCTTCTAGCAACTATATGTGAAATTGCATCGTATTCGAGGAAAACCCTTTTGTTAGCTAAGAAAGAACTTGAATGTGAACAGGGTTAAACTTTTATTTCTTGTTATATTCTAAATAGGTGCATTTCTCTTTACACTTGAACATACGCAGTGTTGGCTGATCCTGAAATGTGTACTGTTATCGAGCTCACTTGAGCTAGGACCTAGGAGTCTTAACTATAAGGAAAAGAAAAAATATTACAGTTGGAAACGAGCAAAGGCAGTGACAACCTCCCCGAAAACTCAAAAGAATATATAAATAACGAAAATTAGTTAATTCACAGACCTAAAATCTAGAGTTCACCATGCACACTAAATTTTACAGCAGTAAGCAAGTTCGTCCAGGTCTTCAATGACGCACGATAGATTATTTATTCCAAATTATACATGCACGTTATTTCTATCTTTTTCACTTTTGTTCGTGAACTTCAGTTTTCTACGTTGCGAATTTAAATAAGAAAACCTTACCTTACAAACGTCTAAACGTTCTGAAAAGCTCACCCCAGACATATCTACGAAGGAAATTGTATTTGATCGGCATGGAGATCAATGACGTAGCGTCATGACGTTGGCAATTTAAAGGGGAGCTAACTCCGCATTTATTGTGTTGGAGAGAGTTATTGAATCTACGATGATGAATGAATGCATCGTTTGTTGGTTTTGTTTTCTCCAGTCGGAAACTGTTGATCCGATTAAATATTTGCAAATAATAAACATACATTTTAACGCAGACCGTTAAAAATAGATAAAGGAGAACAATAACAAAGTTATTCTACACGACAAAAAAAAAAAACCTGGATATGGTGTGTGAAGCAAAAAAGCATGCAAATTTTGCAAAGCATTTACATTTGAGGCCTAACTTTTGATGCTTATATTCAATTAAATTGTATTTTTAAAAGTTCCAATAGTATATAGTAGTTTTATACCAGAGATTTCTCGTTTGCTCAGATTGTCATTAATATATTTCAACTGTACACTGCCATCATCACCCTTGCTTAGTGTTGCCTCTAACGGTTACTGGTTTAGGTGTTTAGTATTTGTCACTTAATTTCCTAAGTGAAAAGAATACTAAGACTCTATCTCTTTGACTCGATCGACTCGATTGTATATCGCACTTCAATGTGAAAAAAACCTATAAAACGTGTTTCACGTCCAACTAATAAAAGGTAAACTTGTTTTCGTTGTTTTCTATTTTTTGGCGAGGACGAACATGTTTTTTTTTTTACAAAAGAACTCCGCAAGTATATAACCTTCTTGACATTGATAATCTCTCCTCACCAGCAGAAGACGCGTAACGGTATATATTACAATGTAATATTTTATGATTGTGAAAATATAAATTTTGAGGAATCTTTAGAAACTGCAAATTTTATGGTACTGTAATTTAAATTGGTATAATAAATATATTTTGTGTAATAAAGCAAAATGATCGCTAAAATTTGTATTATTATATCATTCTAATATGTTTGCCTTAATAAAGTTTATCAGTGTTACAACTGTGTTATTGTACAACAAATCTTCAGTAGAAATGTCTCTTCGGTATTACAAGATAGTAGCAAATACATTACGTACATGAAGCTAAGATTTACACCGGTAGTCCCAACCATTGACATAGGTAGGTATAATAACTGAAACTAATTCAGAATCTGAGTTGGTAATCAATCTTTGACGCGGCAAGTTATTCTCTGAAACAGAAAAGGTCTCTTCGTAGTTCTTCCGAAGCACAAAACTCATCCGTGCTCCAATGACACATAGGTGGCGCTCTACAGTTTCGTATTTAGCTTAGGGATTTTAAAGAAAAAGAATTCCCCAGGGTTTTCTCGCTAGTTGTACTGGATATTTAAAAATAGACCTTGCATATCTTAGATATTGTTCAAAGAACCTTTAATTCCGTTTAATTTGGAGTATGATTGATGGGTGTAATCTGAGTTATACAGCTTGGCCTTACTCCAGATGTGCATCTTTTAAAAGAGTGCTAGCTCCATTTGCTCATTTTCACTTCCCGAACTTCGGAGATAAATTCTTTACAAAAAAAAGCCGATAAAATTTTTACATTTTATGTATTTGGTAACGTATTTACTGCATTTTGAGAAGCTGGTATTTATCTAGTCTGGCAAAATTCATTTTCCCTATTTTAATAACTGCCAAGGATAGTGTAATTTAGACAAATTCAGGTTGATTTTTTGAGCTCAAGGGAGCAGTCATTTTAGTTTGCCGTGTGTCAAGATCATTTACAATTTCCAAAAGTACAATATCCAAAGAAATGTCAGCCACATTACATGAATATAGCATAAAGGTATCCCAACATTCTCTCCACTATGCATGTTTTAAATGCAAACAGCTGCACCTTAAATAGATCACTATCACAAAGGTGCATAATAACTGGTGAGAGCCACGATATGTGGGGCTGAGTGTCTTAAGTCATGAGCTATTACGAACAAAGCAGACGTCTGCCAGTATATGAACCAATATATATATTGGTTCATATATATATTTGTATATATATACAAACACACACACACACTTTGCTCTCAAAACTTAGAATTGCTGCGCAGACTTCAGATTACGTCTTCCTTTTATCAAGTAGGAAGAATGTAGTTAGTCTTAGAGATTTGTCCAAGGTATTTTTTTTAATACATTTAGAAGAAAAAGTGTTAAAATTATTCTGCTTACTGTTAAAGAACCTGCAATATGTTATTATTATACAATATTACGTTTACGTGTTGATGGATTATTTAAATTTTATTTAGAATTTGTAATTATAGGAATATATTTTGTAAAAATAGTTTGTTTGCTACCAATTTCATGCTACAAAATAATTTATATAGAAACAAAAATTTGTAATATTGGCTTCTTAAGCGTTTTTGCATTATTTATAATTTATTCGGCAATTAATTCCAAAATACTGAATTTACAGAATGAATTTGGTTAGCTTTAAATAAATAAAATAATATCTTAAGTTCAAAACTTGATTTCTGTTTAATTTTTCTATACCTATATGTTTGATTTCAAATAAAGAATAGCTGTACTGCAGACTTAGATTCTGACTTCCTTATTCCAGGTCGATCCCATTACGTCTTCGCTAATACTAATGATGTAACACCGACGTAGCATGAGTGACACCGTCCGCTAAAAGGAGACCAGAATGCTCTCTCTCTCTCTCTCTCTCTCTCTCTCTCTCTCTCTCTCTCTCTCTCTCTCTCTCTCTCTCTCTCTCTCTCTCTCTCTCTCTCTCTCTCTCTCTCTCTCTGACGAAAAACAACTCGATACCCAAAATAAAACCATTAGGACACATTTTCTTTCCTACGCTTGCCAACATGCGCTTTTTTGTGGAACCATTTGATGTCGGAAAAATACTGTTGCTATTATCAAACTCTCATAATCTTGTTAATCAAGTAGGGAACATTATTTAATTATTTTTCACAGTAGCTGGAGATTTAAATGTATACTGCATTCTGAAAAGATAAAGCTTTCTTATGATACTAATGATTTTCTAATGTCTCTTCTTTTTGTCCCTTTTTCGCTGGAAGGAAAAAAAAAGAATTGCACGAAAAAGGAATCGGGATGAGGTCAAAGGAAGAAGAGAAGATATGAGACATATAGAAGAACGGAAGGCAAGAAAATGATAATTGTCCTCGGATAATATGAAGACATGATGGGAATGTGTTTATGTTATAGTTGCAATTAAGAAATTAAATTACAAGATACCATTGTTGAACTCGAAATGCAGTTACAGAGATTTACGTAATATTTAGTTTCAAGTGCAAATTACTGAGTTGTAAGTAAGCAACAGTTAGTTCTAACTGTGGTGAGAAACTAGATTCATAATTCGCACTAACCGATTATATTTGTTTGTCGTTTTGTATATTTGCCACCTTCTCCTCATAAAACTTTCAGAAAAAAGAAGTTTTATGATTAAAAGGACAAAGGTTCCACCGAGAATTGAACTCGGATTGTTGGATTCAAAGTCCAGAGTGCTAACCGTTACACCATGGAACCTGTCGATAATATATTCTAAAATTCTATTAGGAGGTAGTAGTAAATCAGTCGCCACGGTATTCTGAAATGGTTCTCTAATACATGTGCATATGGCTAACGCTAGCATGTAAATGTGTTCAACCAGGTTACTTAATGACTTAAGATTGAAGGAATAAATGCATCGTTCATATAGATACTGCAAAAGGACTGTCCGTAGACCATCCGTGTGTATGTATATACATGTGCATTCATATATCTATAATTAAACATAGTTTTTGCCGCCAATATCAATTTACTGAAGACAAATTAATAAGCCAAATACAGAAAATTAATTCCATATCTTCTTTACTTATATATATATATATATATATATATATATATATATATATATATATATATATATATATATATATATATATATATATATATATATATATATATATAAATAAAACCTCTCCGGTGGCCTAGTGGTTACAACGTCCACCTCGGATGCGGGAGGTCGTGGGTTCGATCCCCGGTCGAATCATATCAAAGACTTGCAAAAATGGTACTAACAGCTGCCTCGCTTGACGCTCAGCATTAAGAGGTTAGCAGTAGGACTGGTCGGCCTGGTGTAAGGATAATGTGACTGGGTGGGACATCATGCTACATGTCTGTGTCATGATGCCACAGTCACCACTATAAACTGCCTCACATCGTATCACATCACATCACATCACACACACACACAAACACACACACACGTGGTGTTTTTCTTCTGTGTGCGATGAATGTTGGGCGCATTGCCAAAAAGATATGGTCGAAAATTTCCACCGATTCGGCGGCGGCACCTGTCTGCGTATATATATATATATATATATATATATATATATATATATATATATATATATATATATATATATATATATATATATATATATATATATATATATTTGAATGTATGTATGCATGCGAACCTGGTTGGCTCCTAGGGCATCAAGATTTGGGCTGAAACTACCGTTATAAATGGATGCCAATCATTTTGGGATATTCATTGTTGTAATTTGTTCTAGAATACTTGCATAATACTTTTTTTTAAAAAACATTTTTAGAAGTAATATACGAGTTTGCAAGTAATTTCAAATTATATTTAACAATACATGTTTTAAACGAGGAGAGTAGCCATTGTTGTAAAATGGAAGAACTACTTTATATTTTTTTTTTAGTTTTATCCTTATAACGAAAAGTATTTTTCAGAATTGTTAGTTATATTTCTTTTTTTAACTCCGAATTTACACTCAACCGTAAAAGCTCAAAATACTCCAGCAGTTCATTATATTCATATTCTTAAAAACTATTTCATACCTTTTTGATCTTGATCATTTCTCCCATGCTGTCACTTCCAAAATATTTGATGTCTTTGTGTCGCTATACTATTTCGTATTTTGCATATGGTTAGAATTTTAAACAAAATGAATTTTCCCTGGTTTACTCGCTGGTTATACTGGATATTCAAAAAGGACCTTGTATATCTTAGGCATCGCTCAAAGAAACTTTATTTTCTGTTATTTTGGTGCATAATTGATGGGTGTAATATGGGTTATAGATTATACAGCTTGGCCTTACTGCAGATGTGCACCTTTCAAAAAAGTGCATGCAAGTAATTTCAAATTATATTCAGCAGTTCATATGTATTCAAGAGAAGAGAATATCCATTGTTCTAAAATGAAAGAACTTCTCGATGTTTTTGTTTAGTTTTATCTTTATAAGACTAACGAAAAACGTTGGTCAGAATTGTTAGCTATATTTCCTATTTTAAAGCTGATTTGCGCATGCCACAATATGTGTATGTGCAATGGGTTCACACAGAGTGGCTGTTGCGATAGAAACGTGGAAAAAAGATATACGGCCATAGTACACAATTAATTTTACTATATGGTCTCTACATTTGTTTCTCAGTACTGAACTTTCAACTGTGTGACAATCAATACAAATCATATGTTAATCTAAACTACCTTCAAAGATGACTTTCAAGGGTTGACCTGCATTTTTTTGAGAGGCTGAATTGTAAACAAAACATCAGGCAACGAAACACAGATTTCACTTCCGGATCATCACCATGACCTTATTACTCAATGTGCACTGTCGCCGAAATACACACAGACAACCACACCATAAGCTCACATTTTAAAGAATAATCAATTGCCTTTAAATCCTTACCAAGAATGCCAAAATCTAACTCTAGTATCACCACCAAATTTAGACCGGAAAATGTGATCTAAAAATAGACTGGGACTACATTCGTGGGTACTGAACCGGATTTTATTAATTGTGTACTGATTCCTGAAAGGGTCAATGTTTTTGTCAAACTTTTATATTTGCATTTTATTTTGCATGCCACTACAGTTTCAACTTCATACATAAAGTCTTTTGAAATTTTCTTGCAAGCAAGACATGTGACAGCTGTCAGAAAGTGTGTAGTGCTGGTGTTCTATAGGGTGCAATTTGAGGTACAATTGTTCTTAAGAAACCAAAACTAAATTTGCTATATCTTCCTTAATTATAGGAATTTTTCAATGCAGTAAAAACCTAATTGTAATACTTGATAAGGCCTGTCTGAAAATATTCTTGAAATTAAAAATTAATTGTATATTAAATTTTAATGGAAATTTAAATAAATATATAAATTTTGAAAACTTTTTATTTTACAAAAAATAAATTTTCATACAAGTTATGACATTTAGTTTCACAAATTTAAGGCAGCAATGCTGATTAATGAATGGTCTTTAAAACAAATGGTAGTTTAGGTCTGTACAACTGATAATATTAATCCCAGGGGTGCTGAAGCATGATAGCTCACAGTGATTTTGACAGCAAATTGCAATGTGCCTATCCAGATGCATATAGGTGTACATGCTAAAGAAACAATGACAGGTACTATGTTCCACATTTATTGTTTCAGGTACTTGGACAGTTGTTTGTATTACTAATATCCCACTCAAATTTATAGTTTTGATGGGATCACTACCATGTTTTATAGCAAATATGCATTACATTTTAATGCCGATAACTACAAAAGTCAACAATGCAATATGAAAATACAGTTTCACCTGACTGAAAAAAAGATGCGAATCTCTCTCATGAAGATCTAAGCCATGTCTTTGAGATGCTGTATATCAGTGTACTGATATGAACTCATCTTGGTCACTTAAAGCAGCACACTGCCCATGTCCTTATGAGACCTTGCTATCACCATTTGACTACTAGAGAGCTTCCAAATTGATCCAACTCTAATACTTTGTTCCAGATACCAGACTAGACCTGAAAATATATAACATGTTTCACTTAATTCTAAAAAAGGAAGATGTAGGCAAATGAAGCTAAAATGTGTTAGATATGGTGATTTCAAAATAACATTCAGGTTGCAAATATGGTTAAAAAAGGTAAACTTGATAGAGTGACACTCAAATATGTGAAGCAATGGGCATGTATTAAAGTGACAAATGCATCCTAAAAATAAATGAAGTTTCTACAAGCATATTTAGCCATTTACAGGTTAAATAACTAATCAGGTAGAGTATGTATCATAAAGTTTAAGGCAATGTTGGAACGGTGAGGTTTGATCATTGGTGCAAACATTGATACATACCAGTATAGTGGAAAGTCAAATGACAATGTACCAAATTAAAATTTATTACTATATGCAATCCTATTCATGAAGGAAAAACAATTTTAGATATTGTGAGTGAATATAGCAAAATGTGGCCACACAGATCAACTATAGATACCAACAGATCCTATATCATCAACTAAATGTGAAATTGTCATCCCGAAAACTTGTAAACAAGGATGGATATTTGCATGTGTGGGACATATGCAATGTACTTGTTAAAATCACAAGTGCAAACATGATTCAAATAATCTGTTTGAACATTTTTAGTCTATTTTTAAGAGTCTTGGCTACCAAGTTATTAAGTTCAATGATTCAATGGAATCAAATATCAGCTGATGCTGCAATACCGCCCTCTGTCAAAGTACTAAATTGAAATGTTTTACCATACAGAGGCATATTCATGATGAAAATAACATCTTGGGATATTTTAAGTGCACACAGTCAAAACTGAGCCTTACAGATTCACTATAGGTACCATGTCAGCCTAACAATGTCAACTTTTGATTCCAAACATTACAAAATATATGCATATTTGTTCATGTCAGCTATGTAACCATGTTAGGATCAGTTGTAGAAAGTTAAATTCAAATAATCTGTTTGAATATTACTTATGTAATCTTTAAAGTGTCAGATAACAAATATTATTAGTCATTAATAATGTATAAAGCAAAATGGATCATGAGAATTCCCATAATATCATCTGGGCTGCAATGACGCACTACATCAATCAACATCTTAAAGAAACTGAACAATAAAATGGAATGCATTCTGTGTTCAACTTACATCATTTTGCTGTTTTCTTACATGCAATGGTAAATATACCTGGGTAAAGTATATTTTACCCCTCTGACCTGTATTTCATTCTCTGACAGCTTAATATGATTTTGTAGAGAACTTGAACAGGTTCTAGTATAAAGTCTTCATCTCTGTCCTCTCACTAAATACCCTATAACTATGGTTATAAACAATTACTGATAGCTATACAAGCAGATATGTGTTACTCAGGAAGTCACCCCATCATAAACACATAAATTAACTGTTTGCACCCCAAATAAATAGTTTCAATGACCTAAAGGTTCGAAGCAAAATAGAATTTTGTCTTCATGTATTTTAAATGAGGGTCTCATTTTGACTAATAAAGATATTTTCTGTGATCAAATTTGACAAATATCCATCATTTGAGCTTGTATATGGTGTAGGAGTATATATATATGCTGATATCATTTAATATCATTCCCAAAAAATATTATATATGTGTATACTTGGTGGAAATTTTTTATTTTTTAATTGTTTTTTTAAATTTCATTTAAATTTTTGAAATTAAAATTATTTTAAACTTTTAATTTCATTTTTATATTTTTAAAGTCAATATACATAACATATATCAAATTTCATGTATATGTCATTAATAATAAAAAATTTATATCAGTTTCAAGTTTTTACTGACAGGCCATAGTACACAATTAATTTTACTATATGGTCTCTACATTTGTTTCTCAGTACTGAACTTTCAACTGTGTGACAATCAATACAAATCATATGTTAATCTATACTACCTTCAAAGATGACTTTACGGTTTAGTTCTTGTCAAGGGTTGACCTGCATTTTTTTGAGAGGCTGAATTGTAAACAAAACACCAGGCAACGAAACACAGATTTCACTTCCTGATCATCACCATGACCTTATTACTCAATGTGCACTGTCGCCGAAATACACACAGACAACCACACCATAAGCTCACATTTTAAAGAATAATCAATTGCCTTTAAATCCTTACCAAGAATGCCAAAATCTAACTCTAGTATCTCCACCAAATTTAGACCGGAAAAAGTGATCTAAAAATAGCCTGGGACTACATTCGTGGGTACTAAACC